TTGGAAATGCCACTGATGCTTTATTCATCTCTCCTGCTCCCAGAGGACAGCAGTAATCTGCTTTTTCCTCTCTCTCTGCTGAATTTCCTTGACTGAAAGTTAAAAGGGACAGTGGTAAGTTAATTCTATTTCGGAGACAGAACGTTTTTGTCTGTGCCTTTCACAATGCTTTTGGATTATTGAAACTCCTTTAGAACAGGATTTTTTAAATTTAAGAAGTCCAATTTTCTCTTTCTATGCTGTTTCACTCCAGCAATTGCTCTCTCCCAGGAAAACTCAACTGACTCGAGTCTAGCCACTTTTATTGTGATTCTGGGCCTTTTCCCATCCTGTCTTGGCTGCCGGGGCAGCACTGCCAATGCAAGGCAAGGGCAGAACTCAGCCCACAAGCAGGATGTGGCCACAGTCCCCAAAACAAGCAGAAACGAGACCAAGGCCAAACGTTTCGACATGATGATCAGTTGTATTTTCAGCCCATTAATACACATTCATTTACTGGATACAAACAGAGTGGAAAGGAAAGCGATCATTAGCAGAAACAAGGATACAAAACTCAGTTCCAGCAGCCTTCACAGAAGGGATATTCAGTGTTCACAACTGCACTGTCGGAAGGTAGAGACGCACGGAGAGGAGACCTGCACTCACACCCGAAGTGGAAGCTCTCCTTCTGTTGTTTAGCTAGAGACATGATTTAGAAAAAAAAAATAATTCCAAGAACAGTGACTTTTGACACTTTTCCCTCATTTCCCAAGTGTCAGGAAAGAGATAAGTTGGAATTATTTACGTGGAAGAGATTTTATGAAAACACACTGGGAGGTTAAAAATAGAGTAATCACAAATACTGGAAAATACAAGAAGAAAGCAGGCAGGGAAATAAAAAATAAAAAGAAAAGAGAAAGGCCAAGAGGATCATTGCATTCAGTGGTTGATGTACAGTTTGTGGCTCTGCTCCACTTTGAGACACCTTAGTTTTACACACAACTCGATTCACTGCCGTGACGTCACACTCCTGGTTGAAACCTGCATCCTGCAAAGCTCCAGGTTTCCACAGGATCTCAGCTGTGCGGAAGGGATTGCTTGCCTGAAACAATTTGCAGAACGAGCACCACGAAACGCGGGAGCGTGTCCACATCTCGTGGGTCGCCCAAGAGATGACAACCTCTACCCACACAGACCTGGTCTGGGAAGGTGCTCTCTTCACCTTGGCCACCGCTGCGTCCTACAGACCGAGTCCTTTCTGCCAGAAAACCAGATGGAGGTGCGTCCATTCAGACCAGGGTGGATTTGGGTCTTTACATTTGTCAGGAGAAGGAAACGGCATTAACCTGAAGGACCATTCAGACTTCTATTGCGACGTCTCCACAAATGCAGCTTCTGGGCACAGATTACAACCCCTCCACTGTCCTTGTAGTTAGGACACAAAAGACCTGTCACATTGAAATAACAATAGCAGACCACATCTGAGCTTGATTGTATGTGGACGTTTCCTCAGAAGGAATAAAGATATTGTAAATTATTGATGCCAAGGTCCCAGCTAGGCAAAACCCGCACTGAGGTCTCCCCCAGGGACAGCACCAGGATTGCGAAATCACGTTGTGAAACCTGATCAAAAGAAAGAAAAATGGAACGTTCGGGGTTTTATCCAGCAAAGGTCACACCAAGTCAGGTGATGAACTGAGACCAAGAGTCCAGAAACTGAGCCGAGCACTTTGTGTCTGCCATGGAGCACTGGAGTAGTTCTCCCACAAATTATTTGTCAGTAAAGTTCTTACACACGATGACATTTTACCCCTCATTTTTTAAACCATGCATTAACTTTACAGTGAAACATTTATCCAGTCCAACATCTATACAAGAAAACACCTATTTTAAAATATTAAAAAGATATGGTAAGGAGCGTGAGTTCTCAAAGTGGCACATGTTAAGGAATAAATTAAAGGGAAATTAAAGTGTTCTACTCAGGTTGAACTACAAAATAAAGTCTGAGCCTGGGAGAAGTTCTCCCTTCCTATAGTTCTAACAAATAAACACCACAGGAAACAGTTCACGTTTCTGGGTTTGCCAGTGCTTGAACCCACATCACTTGTTACGGTTCTGTGTCTCTGCGAGCCATCCTCTCCAGTTTGAAGGTACTGAAAATAAACCCACACTGGTATTACGGACGAAGAAGTAGTGATTGTTTAGGTGCAGAAATTAGCTCTCACAAGGTGTTCAATCTCACAGGCTTCTTAATATAAGAAATAAATCTTCAGTTGACAAGGACCCAAGGAGCCAGCTCGGTGCAAAAGAGAGTTGTGCCTTCAATGGAAGCCGCACCAGCCCCGTCATCAGTTTGGGGCGAGCAGTGCTGCATCTAGGGGGAGGTTTGGTGGCCCCACAAGCCCCCAGGGACACAGGGCTCTCCACATGGTGCCGAGGCTGCCTTGCACACCTTGCTTCCATTTGAACGTTACTAAACTCCTGGTATTGGGAATTTAGCACCAACACAAGGAAGGGATGTTCAGCACAGCTCCTCTGTTCCCACTGTGGGAAACCTCCTCCCGGACAGAGAGTCGACGCGAGGCCCGTCTGCTACTTTAATAATGAAAGACCTTCTTAATTATCACATTTTCATATAGAATCAGTCAATTAAACCTCTCCTCTGTGGCTCTGCTGTGTTGCTTGGGACCAGCAGCCATCACATGGTGGGCTGAGTGTTGCAGAACCTGGGTGTTTTTTCCCCAGAGCGGTCTGGCAGAGGGGGACTTAACACTACCGGAGTTACGAAGCCCCAGTAATTAGCTACCTACCACCTTAAAAGACAATATAAGGATAATTTAACGATTACAAGAATCTTTGCTAGTATGAGGATAGGGACAATAAGAGCACTTAGAAGGTGACAGGAGTCTTGCACTTCTTCAAGGTTCACGTGTAGGGGTGGTGGGGTTGAATTCCCTCTTTTCAATTATGAATTCAGATCCATGTGACTCAAAATGATCCTCTGACAGGCTGCAATTGTTTAAAGTTGGCAGCTTTGTTCAGACTAAAACAGCTAAAAACATATCAGGAGAGAAAAACTCTGAACTAGCACTGACGTGAAATAACAAGTCCGCTTTGATCTTTTTTTGATTGCAAACGGTCGGGGCACATACTGCTCTGGCTCTGGAGGGGGTGACCCCAGGTCAATTATTTGAAGGGGAAAAAAAAAAAAAAAAATCAAAATCAAGGGAACATACTTATCTGCTTACAGCACGCCAGCTAAAAGCATCAACCCCCTGGGCCAAAGATCATCACATAAAATGCTGCATGTGCACTTCTAACAGGCTAAACAGACCCTGGACAGAAAGAAACCAGAAAGAAGCGTAATTGGCAACTGCATCTACAAAACAGCAGCATAAACCAGTGGAAACTGTAGGAATGGGCTGAGACTCGGGCTGCCTCCGAGGAATGTCTGGGGCTGTTACTCGGGTGATGCAGTAGGTACAGAATCACCTGGTGCCTGTTTGCAGGTCTGAAGACACAGAAGGCAAACAGCTAAAACAGGCTGCCCAGAGAAGCTCGGGATGCCCCATCCCTGGAAGGGTTCAAGGCCAGGTTGGATGAGGCTTTGAGCAACCTGGTGTAGTGGAAGGTGTCCCTGCCCATGGCAGGGCAGGTTGGAACTAGATCATCTTTAAGGTCCCTTCCAATGCAAACCATTCTGTGATTCTATGAAAGTGTGGTGCCAGCTATGTTTTGGGGATAGCTAGGCGACCGGTGTGATTCTTTTCCAGTTAAAAACAAGTGAGACTGTTGAAAGAGCCAGAAGAGGGAAAAATAAACTCCCTTGGGAGCTAAAGTAAATACCAGTTCACCTGGTCTTTTGGCTAAGGAGAGTTGGGCAAAGGGTTAAACCCAGCTAGTGAAGGGATCCCCCTGGACGGATGCAGTGGCAGCAGAGGAGCTCAGCCTCCCACTTCTCCAGATCTGACTCTCGTTAGGTGTTTCTAATGGTCTGATCTCTTAGTGTTTGACATGGCACTGCCAACTGCCATGAAACACCTCTCCTGGGACTGCAGTGTGAGCCGGACATGAAACTGGGAGACACGGCTCATTGCAGGATGAAGGATGGAGAAAAGACCGAGGACGGCAGCCATCAGGCAAGGTCCTGACCCAGGAGCAGTAATGTTTCATTCAGGGATGCTGAATCGAATCGCTGCTTTGCTGCACAGTGAGATGTAAAATAGCTTTGGAAATTGTCTTACAGAAATGGAAAACAGGATGGGACATGCTGTGTTTCACTTGTGCTTGGGAAGACACATCCTGCATGCCTGAGGTTGGATGAGGCTTTGAGCAATCTGGTCTAGTGGAAGGTGTCCTGGCCCATGGCAGGGGAGTTGGAACTAGGTGATCTTTAAGGTCCCTTCAAACCCAAACCATTCTATGATACAAGATTGTTAGTCCATTTCCATCTAAGAAGTGAAACACCTACACTTGACAAGCTGTAGGACAGCCCAAGGCAGCACGGAGCAGCATCTCCCGACAGCGCCAGGGCTGTGTGATGGGCTCTGATGTCTTACAAAGCCGGGACATGGACAGGGGGGCACCCAGCGAGGCAAGGCGCGGGTACCCAAAAGCCTTAGAAGCACACACAGCCCACGACTCCTGCACAGCCACAGCACAATCACGGTACGTATGCAACCACAGCAGGCAGCTGGCAGCAGTAACAACATTGACTGGGATTGGTTTCCTGTCCTAGAAGTGGCCTGCATCCTTCAGGTGCCCAGAACACATCATTAAGAAGTAACTCCTTGGAGGATAAACTTCTCATTTGTCATAATTTCCAAGTTTTTCTGCGTCTCTTATTTGATAGTGTTGATTTGCTTCAAGTTCTTCCACCAAAATCCTTAAGAAAGGCACATTACTTTGGTGGAGATCTTTTTCATCTCCCTTAGCAATAAAAAGCTTTCTGAAATCCCATATCGTTCATCAACTTGTCTCTGGAGAACCAGACTTTAAAATGTAAAGCAGCCTGCATCTTCTTAAGTCCAAACCTCCATGGGTACCATGGACTCCTTCGTTCCGACAGAGGGAAGCAAGTACTCTTCCTCCAGAAAACGGAAGGGGAATTGTACTAAAAACCCACGAATCTTTTTTAATTCTTCTGCTGCTCTCACAGGATCATCGTTTGCTAATTTGGGCTTGTTGATGAAGTCACGCAGTTGGGTTAAATTATTCACCTGGTCACAGGGAAGGCATCGAAAAACCTGATCGGAATAGAAAGAAGAAGTGGCATGTCAGTGTGGGGGAAACACTGCAATGCGGAGTTCCCGAGAAAGACCAAAACATCTGACACAAGTTATTCCCCAGGACAGGAGTGACTTAATTAAGATCCTGAAGAACGGGGAGGGCAGAGGGATGTGCCTCTGTGATATGGCTAGAGCAGGCAGAGGGGGAGCTCCAGGGCTTTTTCTGATTGCTGCAAAAGCTCATTAGAAATGAGAAGTAAAATTTGCTTCTACTCCAGTTATTGCTTCTAGTTGGCCATAGCCTAAGCACACTGACGTGATTCACCAGAGCTACAGCTGATACAAATTAAAGGAGAAATCAGAACCATCACCTTCTTGGGCTGCTGTCACTCTCTGACGATGCACAAACTCCAGTCTCTTGTTCACAGCTCTTGTGTCTGACACTACTCACTCCTTCAGAGCATCTCTAAAGGTCCAACCCCAGCAGCTGGACCTGCTGCCCTTGCCCTCCCCGTGCTGCTTCTCCCGTTGGCATCTGCTGCTGCCGCATGGGAGGGAGAGAAGGGAAAAGCGCCGTGTTCCTCACCTTATCGAAGATGGTGGCATTGCGAGCTGCTGTAGAAATCCATACCTCCTTGAAGAATTTGTCACAGACAGGATCCTGGTGTTCCGGACTGAGATCAGAGCCACCAAGGACAACCCTGAGAAGACAAAGGGATCAATGCTCACGGAGGCTGAAGTACCGAGAGAAATGCCAGGGGAGGAAAAGTTTCCTTGGGACTTGTCAAACGCCATGTGATCCCAGCACCCTCCTGCTTCTGTCCCCTGAAATAGTCTGTCAGCCTTAATACTGCTTGAGTTTCTCCTTTTTTTTTTTTTTTTTTCCCCTATGCAATAACTGTCCAGATGGGAAACAGGGTGAGGGGAAAAAAAAAAAAAAAAGGTCTTAATGAAAAAACAGCCGTGTTGTGGGCCAGATGGCTGCTCCAAGTGAGGGAACTTCCGTTAGAAAGAGACACCACCACCCAAAATTAAAAGAGTGTGAAAACAGGATCTGGAGGCAAAATATCACTGTCTTGTTTATGAGCTCTCCCAGTGAAATCCTGGAGAAAAACCATTTGTAAGTCAAGCTGCTGAGCTAAGGACAGGAGCAGCGTGAGGAAGGCTAACGCTAGTGAAACGGTGGAGAAACTGGGATAAATCCAGGCTGGGTGATGCTAAACCTGAGAGGGCAGCAGCAGCCCCGTGGGTTTGAAAGGCTGCGGGCAGGGGTGAGGCTCAGCAAGCTCTGCCTGCATCCCCGCTCCGCCAGCCCCGCACATCCCACCTGAAGCACCGCAGCCGGAGGGACTGGGCAAACTTCCCAGCGCTGTAATGCTCGCCGTCCATCACGGAGGGGACGGTCTCGGTGTCCTGCACGATGATGGCCATCTCGCTGTCCCGCTTCCCCAGCATGCTGCGGTCGTTGATGTTGGCGGAGCCTGGAGGGGGGGGGAACGAAGCACCGGGAACACATCACCTACCACGTGAGATGCACCTGCGCGCCCACCACCACCCACCACATCCCTCATCTCCGTGGGAGACCAGCTATGGCTTCGCTAGGTAAAACCCCAACCTGAGGGCTTCCCTATGGAAACACAGATCTCAAGAATCAGCATGAGGGAGAAGGCAAAACGCCCTAAGTTTTGCAGGCTTCAAAAGCTCCAGGCTTGGAAGAAAGTTAAGTCATAGCCAAGCCCAGGCCAACACTCTCAAAAGTTCCCTCCCTCTGTAACTTCCCAGGTGCTTTTGCTGAGGGATGCCACAGCTTTCAAAGGTCTTTACCACATTTGGTTTCAATACAGAGGGGAAGTTTTCAATTTGCATTTGGGAGGTAAGGGTTTTTTGGGAGGGGGGATCTAGGAAGAAGGACGTTATCTCCTCGCTGTGGGTAATCAACACCCAGACCCTCTTGTCCTGCCAGGAGCACACTTTTATGTCCACAGACTCAGAAGCTCAGGCACCGTCCCGGCTAGTGCTGCAAAGCAGCAGCGGACCCCCGGACTGCGGGGGACCTTCTGACCATAGAATCATGGGAGATGATGATGATCTGACCATGGGATCTCCCACGATCTGACCATGGGAGATGTTTCTTCTCTACTCCTTGCTCTGTGCTTGCTGCAGCACTACCGCACGCTGTGTGAAACCCAAACCGCAGAAAGCAGAGGGGTGCTTTCCAGAGGGGTGCTGGGGGGATGCTTTCCTTGGCGGCAGGACCCATGGGTGTCCTGTGCCCAGCTCCCCACTCGCACCCTGCAAAATAACCACTGCAGTCCCCAGGCAAAGCTGCTGGAGGGCAGCAGACATTTCCCTATGGCATGGCTCTGGCTGTGCCTTTCAGAGGGGGGATGCCTCTCCAAAATGCACCACCCCGCACACATAGAGGTTTAATAGAATCATAGAATGATTTGCATTGGAAGGGACCTTAAAGATCATCTAGTTCCAACCCCCCTGCCATGGGCAGGGACACCTTCCACTACACCAGGTTGCTCAAAGCCTCATCCAACCTGGTCATGAACACTTCCAGGGACGGAGCATCCAGAACTTTCTCTGGGCAACCTGTTCCAGTGCCTCACCACTGTCAGAGCAAAGAATTTCTTCCCTATATCTAATCTAAATCCACCCTCTTTCAGTTTAAAGCCATTGCCCCTTTCCTATCACCACACGCCCTTGGAAAAAGTCCCTCTCCAGCTTTCTTGTAGCTCCTTTAGGTACTAGAAGGCTGCTAGAAGACCTCCTCGAAGCCTCCTCTTCTCCAGGCTGAACAATCTCAACTCTCTCAGCCTGTCTTCATAGGAGAGGTGCTCCAGCCCTTGGATCATCTTCATGGCCTCCTCTGGACCCGCTCCAACGGCTCCATGTCCTTCTTGTGTTGGGGTCCCCAGAGCTGAATGCAGCACTGCAGGGGGGGTCTCATAAGAGCAGAGTAGAGGGACAGAATCACCTCCTTCGATCTGCTGGCCACGCTGCTTTGGATGTGGCCCAGGATACAGCAGGTTTGGGTGCTGGGCTTGTGCAGCGGCTCCAGCCCTGGCTCTGCCCCACACGTGCCATGCGGGGTCCGACACCTGCAGCACCATTCGAAACCAGCTGAGGCTTCATCCCCCAAATAGGTTTGTGCCACGCAGCCGTCAGAAGGCAAGGGACAGGGGACACCACAGCACTTGTGGGCTCCAAGGGAACAGCAAGATGCAGCCAGCAATAGGAGTTGTCAGGTTGTTAACCCACAGAAATGACCAAACAACAACAAAATCTCCCACAGCCCCCAGCTCTGTAAGAGACCTCCAGGCACCATTAGCTCTTTAGCCTGCCTGAATCAAGGGGAATTAACACCTCCAGACGAAAATCGAGCTAAGCCCCCCGCCATCCTTTCACCTCCCTCTCCTTCACTGTGGCCCCGTTAGTGTTTTATTTCCACGCATCATCTCTTTCTTGGGTGGAAAAGGGGTAAAACTGGCTCCCCATCATTTCACCAGCTGGCACGGATGCACATGCTGTATACAAATCCATCCTCAGGCTTTACAGGTACAGAAAACAGAAATTAAGAGCAGTCTCAGGCCCCCCAGACCATCACAGTTGCAACAACACTGCTCCTGCCATGATACGAAAACCAGCTCTGGGCTGCTCTGCATACTGGAGACAGGATGTGACCCCTGAGAGGGTAACAGAGGAGCAAACCTACCCATGGGTCACCGACACTAAGGCTGAACTGCTGCTTGGAAGAAGGGGAGTACTTTGCAAAATCTGGTATTAAGTCACACTTTGACCAAGTTTTTGTTGCTGATATAACAGATCAAAAAGGGTTTCTTTACAGAAACAGGCTAAAATTCTGCTTCTCTGTGCGATGCATAACTCTGCACCTGACGTCCCGTCTTTGCTTTGTAGTCTCATAATAAATACGGTAAGAGAAATGGATGAAATAACATCTATTACTCGTTATAACACACTTCCTCAGTCTTCGGTAATGGAGCTGATAAATGACACATGTTGTCCAAACTATCCAAATTTTACGGCACATTCTGTTCTTTAAGGAACAGATGACAAGTCTCACAAGTCTTCCTGCTAGAGCAGAGTTTGATACAAGACAGATGGACAATATTCTCTGCACTGGGATTCTCTTCACTGTTACACAGAGATTTTAAAGCATTTTAGAAAAACAAATTAAATGACAGCCCTCCAAATCTTTTCCTAACTCCTATCTACCCTCCTGATGAATTTATGAGTTTGTTTTTCTGTTTTTTGTTGTTGTTTGGGTTTTTTTGGTTGTTTTTGTTTGTTGGTTTTTTTTAAATGGCAAAATATTTTACAACATAGAAAAGCAGCCTCCATTGAGTACAGGGCAGAGAAGCGAAGGGACTAATCCAGATATAACCAAGTGGTCCAAATCCCTCCCACAAGCCCCTGCTCACCGATTATAACGGTGTTGTCATCAGCAATAAGCAGTTTGCTGTGAACATAGATGAGCTCTGTGACTAGTTTTCCTTCCAACTCTGCATATGTTCGAAGTCCACAGAATGATATGTAGTTTATCCACTTATCTCCAACTGAAAATTAAAAGAGAACAAAACTGATGAGATGAGGGAGGCGGAAGAAAGAAGAAAGAGAAAAGACTCTCTTTATATAAACACCCATATGAAAAATCAAATTCACTTTTGACTTTTAAAAAAAAAAACAATAAACAAAACAGGTAATGGAAATAAGTTCCTTTAAAACCAGACTTTAAAAACCAGACTTTAAAAGCTGCCTGTGAGCTCTCCCTGCTGCTCTGACCTGCTGCCTGCTCGGATACTTCCACTTTGGTGAAGAATGACCCAAATCTCCCTTCTGCAGCACGCAAGCGCTCCCAATTGATAGGAGCATCTTAAAATAACTGGACTATGTGACTGGTTTTCTGCAGAAAGGAGGCTGGAAGCAGGTGTTCTGTCCATGCACGGGATGGAAAAGACATCCTAACATACTTGCCTGCAGTTCAGATTTACACAAAGACTTAGAACGAACGAGGCATTCTGTACGCCCTGGTATTTACGATACGTGGGTTCTCACAGTGCTCCGGTTCCCAGCAGAGCAAATTCAAGCAGGAACCCTCACGGTGAGGAGGCAACTTGGAAACAGCGTCCTGCTGAGGCAGGTTTTTCCTCTCCATGTTTGACAACTGCCAGAAACAAACCCAGGGTGGGATCCATGGGGGAAGAGAGGGGGGAGGTGGAGGGCTCGTCGCTCCCAGAAGCGTGACCCAGCTCAGGACGTTTTCCAAGGAACACGATACTGAGCAGCTGCGACCACGCTGTGCTCCTCCCTGAGGTTCTCCCCTCCTCCGGATCAGGGCTGCATCCAAGTGCAGAGTCTGACGACCAGCCACGGCTCGCGTGACACGACAGACCTCGCCACAGCATGACGGCAGAGGAGGAGGTTGCCCACCAGCCCCACGACTCATTGATGTGAGATGCCCCAGTCCACGCCTGAACCCTTCAGCCACAGCAAGCCCACGCTAATAAGCTGGAGAATCCAACTCATGCATTATAGATGTATCCATCGAACAGCAGCATCCCAAGACTAAGCAACATAGAGGAGAGGAAAAAAAGCTCTCACCCTCTGTCTTCAGCTGGCCCAGGATTGAGTTTTCTCCTCGGCACATGGTCCTGGAAGGAAGGTAGGCAGCCGTCAGCACCACTGCCACTCAAGGCAATGGCATATGCTGAAGCAGAAGCGGGCAAAGTAAATCGCAAAACACAGATGCCTCTTAAATAACCCGTGCGAGCAGAAGAAACACGGTCCTCCCAGAGCACACGTTTTTCCCAAATGACTGCTGATCTATCAGGGACTGCTCATTTCCCAAAGGAGCTTGAATCAATCCGCAGAGGAGCTGGGGAGCATTTTTGCCTTCTAGAGCAGACCGCAACGGTGATAAACATTTTACACATAGGGCTGCTACTGTCTGTGCTACAGGTCTGAACATGAAGTGACATCAAGAAAGAAAGCCAACACGTGCAGAACCCCAGGTCGGGGAGTTTGTGTGATTACAGCTGGGCTGGAAAAGCCACAGCTGGCACCTCATTCAAAAAAACCCAACCCATGGGCGATTTCTAAAGACTTATGGTTGCCCTTGCAGAAGGTAGGGAGATGTAGGGAGACATGCTGCTTTTCTTCTGCTTCCATCTCCTGCCCCACTCATCCTTATGGAGGTGTGGTAGGACACCCCATAGACCAGGGACATTTCACTCCGGTCCTAGCAGTATTCTCCACAGACTGGCTGCACCCTGGCCATACCATCACACAGCAGTTTTCCAGTGAAACCCTCTTGCCTTGGGCCATTTTGCCTCCCTCTACGCCCCGTTCCCAGCACAGGGCTACCCGGCACCGCTGCGCCTCAGTTCTTCCCATGAAGACCCGCTGTCTTTGCAAGTGCCCCCAAAAACATCCGTCCTGGAGCAGAGGAACAGCATCAGGGAAGATGCCGTTGCCTTCATGGGGCAGAGCCAGGTGAAGTATTGGCTCAAAAGGCAGCTTTGGAGGCAAAGCCCAGCACCCGACTGAGCAGGTGCAGACGCCCTAAGCTAACAAATGGGGCTGGGGGACGGGGACGCTGCCGGGAGGAACTGCGGGAAAAGCCAAGGTAAGTGCATAAAGGAGAGCATGGCTGGTGGGTGGAAGGGTAGAGATCTCAGGGGTGAGCAAGCCCTGGTTTGACAAGCAAAAAGGAAAGCGGCGGAGAGTTAGGAATCGGGGGGGGTGGGTGTGTAAGGGATCAGGGGACCCTGGAGGCAGGGATTGCCCCGCGGAGGTCTCCGGCAGCCCTGCCCGCCGCAGGGCTCCCACTGTACCTGTAGTTGAAGTGCATGATGGCCTGCAGCGCGTTCCCCCCGCCGGTCGAAATGTCACCCTCGAAGCCAGGCAGCAGCGGGATCACCACGTATACTCGGAAACGCTTGTTTTCCCTGAAACAATAGTTGGGGGGGAACGTTAGCCTGTGAATGTTTCGGCTTCGTACAAGGTCAGTGCCCTTGGTTTCCCTTTCCCTGTGCTGACCAACTTGGTATCCATCCAAGGCCACTACACAAATTTTAAGGGAGCAAAGCGTGAAGTGTATTCCCAGTTTCAGGCGTTCATCACCTGCCATCAGCACTTCAGCAAGTGCTCAGACCTTCACGAGGAGAAGGAACAATTTACTCTCAGCTGAGAACAAAAGAGGCTAAAGGAAAAGAATCATAGAATCATGGAATGGTTTGGGTTGGAAGCGACCTTAAAGATCATCTAGTTCCAACCCCCCTGCCATGGGCAGGGACACCCTCCACTACACCAGGTTGCTCAAAGCCTCATCCAACCTGGCCTTGAACACTTCCAGGGATGGGGCATCCACAACTTCTCTGGGCGACCTGTTCCAGTGCCTCACCACCCTCAATGTAAAAAAATTCTTCCTTGTATCTAACCTAAATCTCCCCTCTTTCAGTTTAAATCCTTTGTCCCTTGTCCTGTCACTACACATCCTTGTAAAAAGTCCCTCTCCAGCTTTCTTGTAGCCCCTTTAGGTTTTCAGATTTCACTGAAGTTCAAGGGCAGGCTAATTATTTTGCAGATTGTGTCTGACACTACACGAGTTTGTCTGAGCGTCCCAACTGCCTGGTCACACACACATGCTGGTGCAGACTGGTGTGTACGGCTGCCTGGCAGTGCACAAAGGCTACAGTGCTGTCACAGGCACAAAACCAAAATCTAACCTGACATTCCCACTACATCCTGGTTTTTAGATGTCAGAAACATCACAAAAGGTAAAAAAAAATTCCGGGCACAAGCAAAATATCAATCGTTCAGGACGGTGAGTATTCCACCAATACAGCACAACCGACAAAACTGTTCCACTGGACACGCACAAACTGAACCGTACCCTGACCGGGAGCTGATCCAGCATTACCAGAGCTACGACCGCAGCCCTGCCTGGGGCTTTTCTTAAGGCTCACATTTAGGTTTTTCTTTGCTGACACATGCCAGGTGCATCTTCTCTGCCAGCACTTTCTGGGCACCCCTGGGTGTTGGTGGTCCCCTGGCCTGTGCCAGGAGGAGGAGGCTGAGGATGCTCCAATGACGGGTGCTGCCACTAGATGGCAAACGCACTTTGATCAGGACAAAAACCACTTCAGGGCAGCCTGAAGATGAGCCAGCCTGCAAGTTTTTGTTACAAGTATTCCTTCCTCGAGCAAGTCCTGGCTGTGGACTTAAAGGCAGCAGAATTGTGAAGAACTGGGGTCTCGTCTGAGCTGGGATGAAGACAGTGAGGACCCGTGTTTCTTTAATATGAACCAATGCTTCCTTATAGCTGGGCTATGCATTGTAAACCAGCTTTAGTCTGACTTGGGAAACAGCAAACAAGGTCGTACCGGTTCACAAGAGACTCTGAAATGAAGCCTGTTTGTATCATGAAAAAGATCTACTAACAAAAACATTCCCAAAAAAGCAGCTTGTTTGTCTAAGCCCAGTGTTTATTAATCTAAAGAGCCACCCATGAAAAAAAAGGGGAAACCAAGCAAAGAATGATATTAATTACAACAGTAAAAAATATTTAGTCTAGAAGAGTGAGAAGCATACAAGCTTCACTAAAGAACTTAATTTACAATTAAACATCTGTGTCACCTACGCTGCATTGCCGGGGCGGTTTGGAACATGAGCACTTGATGCAAACCATTTAGGTCTGAATTTACTTTTAATCTTTGGCAATGGCAGGCGCTCTGGAGTGTGCAGAATTTGAATCTCATACCCAGTTAGGAATCACTGCCATTAGGCTGGCACAATATTGGCACAAAATTGGAATATTACAGAAGTGAATTGAGCATCACATCTGAAAAGGGGTCACTGAAGAATTTATGCGACTCCTTTTTGTACCAGACATTTTGATGTCTGGACAGAATGACAGCTTTTATATGAAATTTTATATAAGAGGAAAATGTCATGAGAATTTGTTGCTACCTCTGGCTATCCAGAGCCACTTTCCAAGGAGAAAATGACCTCCGCAGAGGTGCTGTGTCCAGCTGCCCACGAGCCTCGAGGTTGCAATGCAAACACCAGCAACGCTGTTTCCAGCTGCTTGCCTGCACCTCAGCCCCGTTGGCATCGCAGAACTGCCCGTACCCCGGCGTCTGTCTGTCTGTCTGTGCTTGGTTGCCTTTACTCAAGTGGGAATTTCCAAGCTCAAGTGCCAAAGAGAGAGAAATTTCTGTGACTCCAGAGAGAGAGCACCCCTGGGAAAGCAGTCCCTGCATAGCTCTAGACAACTACAATATGGAAAAAATCATCATTGCCACAAACTCCTGCATGCGTGGCGAAAAAGCACAAGAGATTAAAGGAATCAGTTTAGAAAGTTTTCTCTGTATCAGCCCAGCAAGAGCAGAATACCATTTTAGACTATGACATATATGTATCTTAAAGACAGACCTCAGGAGAGCAACCTTAAGCAAGGCCAACCAGGATCAAAGTGGAGACAAGCCACTACCTGCGCTATTCATGTCAATGCAGGGTTAGGCATGCTCGTGTAAAAGGAGCACCGAAAACATGGTCAGGTTTGTTCCATCCAGGAACAAACGATGGTCCCCTCGTGGTGGCTGGAGGTTGTAAATATCCTCCGGCACTTACCAGAAGAAGTTGCTCAAACAATAGCTGAACCCTGCAGTCAAATCCTCCAAATGTGTTTGCTTCCCCTGTTTGAAGCCAGCCCTCTCTATAGGTATTTTAAATAAGTCACAAATCCCAGTTCAACCTTCCCGCCCATTAACATGCCTCACCACACAGTTCAAGACTGGTTGGCTACCGAGCAAAGGTGTCACCGAACCGGAGTACAAAAGGACTTGGCTTTTAAACAAGTTCCATTGTTAAAAATACATTTGCCTCAGGGTAAGTCTAGAAAAACAACTCCTGGCTGCAAAGAAACCACTCAAGAGTCTCACTGCTGCAAACACAAGCAGATCTTCAACCGCATCGGTTCTGCGCTGGAAAAGCTATCGTACAGCTGTGTCCATTAAGATATTATTTTACACCGCACCGCATAAATGCACCTGGAAGACTGTCAGTGCCTTGTTGAGAACAGGTTACCTGTGAGCTTTAAGAATCCTCTGAGCAATCGCATCGCCGATCTTGTTCCAGACAACCTTGTCATCAGCACAGCTAATAAAAAACTGGTTCTGCAGGAAAAGCAAGCAAAGCTACTGTCAGACCCTGCCAGCAACCAGCAAAAAAATACTTGCACGCTTTATTTCAGACCAAGAACAACTAAAGATAGCTGAGGTTTGTGTGCCGTTTGAGTTAGTGGTTTTTTTTTTTTTTTTAATTATTATTAAATGATGTGTGTGTCTGTGCTTACTT